ATGCTGTGTCATCGGTGTGTAAATGCGAATGAATGGGTTCGTTTCTGTTCAATGGACTTTGCCATCACTGAGTGAATGTGTGTGAAAGGGTGAATGTGGCACGTAGTGTAAAAGTGCTTTGAGTGGTCGGAAGACCTACGACAGGCGGCTATACACAGTACCAGGCCCATTTACCATTTAATAAAAAATGAAAGCTACAAGAGGTAAGTTTTATAAAAATAACTTTTTGTAATATTTGCTAAAACTTTCACTATATCCAGACAGTAGAACATGAGACAGATAATCTGTGAAAAAAAATCAGGTCCCTCTGGCTCCTCCTCCCAATGACATCTGCAAGAATAAACTGGGCCTGAACGAAAACAACCAATCCGTGTTGAGAAAGATAAAACAATGCTTTGGGTTGGTGGCTTGAAGATAGTTGATCTTGATAGTTTTCAAAGTTGCAACCAAACAAAAAAAAGTCTCTATTTAACAGCAAAACTGAGCCATTTACATGTCTTGCACAAGTGTCCACACTCGTCTTTATATGTAAGTATTAGCCGTATTCTATTAAATCCAGTATCCATTGTGTACTATACAAAGAATATATGCTTCCTATACTGTATGCTGCTGACATTATTGCACAGTGTTTGTTTTGGTTTTTTTACCAGGAGACTGTGACAAGCTACAGGTGACATTTCCAGATCAAGTTGTAGAAAAATGTGAGGATGAAAACTGATTTTATGTATTCCTGCAGGTACCTGTTCTCAGCAATGATCCAGAGGGCCCTGCTGGCCCCGATGGTTTGGATCCTGGTCACTTTGCTGGATGGAAAGATCTTCATTTGTGCCTTCAGTGTTAGTGTAGACCCTGGACTCTTCTCTGGTAACTGCAAACACATTGTACCGAGAGAAATACAATGAGTTTTCTTACTACAGTCTATACTGTTACATAAGGCACACATCTATCTGATGTATCATGTGGTATGTTTCCTCAGGCATGCCCAATAATACAGATCTGGATGTGATCAAAATCATGGCCAAAGTGCCCTGCAAGGAGGATGTTATCTTCAGGAACAGCTCTTTCCGCAAAGCAGTGTCTCGTTACGTTCGCTGCTATTCACAAGTAAGCTGTTACAACCTCAGCATGCATCCACACATCACATATTTGTAGCTTCAATCAGTGGTGTATTCTGTCAGATCTGGGTCAGACTTCATTTATCCCATACACCTGGTCTGAGAGCCACTTCAGTGGTGTGACACAGGTTGCGTTGCATGCAGTGTAAGGACAGATATGATTAACTGATTAACTCAAAATTATAAGGGCAAGCAGTATACCTACATACAGTACCCATAGTTTCTATATTTAACTTTCAGAAAACCGTTGTTAATAGTGCCACCAGTGGCTGTTTGGTGAACTGCAGCCAGTGTCCTGTTGCTTGCGCTGTGTACACAGTCTGTAGGTGTGAGCGAGCATTATCCAACAGTGACAGACACTAGACTGAATGCCGAAATGAACACTGAATGCTGGAAAATAAATTACAATCATATTTAGAATAATGTTACTAACTAATTTGAACCAATAGCTCGCCATTTACAACTCACTCCATCAGCCAAAACCACAAAGCAACAATGCCTGACCCACACTGTGTCTGGATGAGTAAACTGATAATCCACTAAAGCCACTTCCAGTTTAAACAGCCTTTTTGTATTTTGAATTTACATATGGCACCTTTAAACTAGTAGAGAAGTACTGTCTGAAATCAAGTAAGTTGATAATGGTGTGATTAGTAGCTGCAGCTACTTTCATATCGAAAGACAGGCTGTGGATTTAACATTTAAGGTGGGAGTAAAAGACGAGTAAAATAATTGTTGTCATACTAGTCCGCTGATCACACACCCTGTGTCAGGAACAATTGGTGCCACCGACTGATGGCTCTTTGTGTGCTTGTCACAGTCACTGCACCACATGAATGATAGCTTTTGTTGGCTTTGTGTAGCTAACTTTCCTCGCCCTGTCTAGGCTGTTGGCTGGTCCATCCTTCTCTTCCTGATTGTGCTGGGAACACTGGGACGCCTCATCAAGCCCTGTTTCGACGACCACGCCACCTTCCTGCAGACACGCTACTGGAGCAACTACCTGGACGTGGAGCAGAAGCTCTTCGACGAAACCTGCGTCCTGCATGCTCGTGACTTCGCCCGCAAGTGTGTGGTGCTGTTCTTTGAGGACATGAGGGAAGACACTGTGCTCCGTCTTCCCCACCCGCCCTACATCACGAACTCTAGAGAGCAGTGGGAGGATGAGGAAGAGGAGAGGCTTCATGGGATATCAAAGCAGGAGCAGTTGGACCAGCTGCTCTGCAAGTGGTACTACAGTAAACCTGAACTGGATGTCACCAGGATAGCCCACAGACCCAGGACGTGTGTTACCTGGGAGGACCAGGACGGGAAGACTTTATACTCAGATGTCTAGGTTGAATCATGTTATGATCCGTTCACTTATATTAAGGAATAGCAACAATGTAGGTTTACTTCAGTTTAGCCAAAACCAGACTGATGTCTTAGCTCCAAGGTCCACTTACTAATGACTAAGAGTTCTCTACTGCATATTCATTCAGCAGATGGAGCTGGCACAGGTGTCATCACAGGACCTGATAGTGAACTTTCAGTCATGTGTTAACAGGTGGTTTAAAACAGTGGAGATGGTAACCCCCTGCCTCTGTTCTGTTTAATGATGGTGTTTGGCAGAGCTGTGGACTTGAATCACACGACTTGGATTCAAGTCAGACTCAAGTCACAAATTTAATGACTTTAGACCCCACTTTCGAAAATCTAAAAGACTTGCAACTCAACTTGGACTTTAACAGCAATAACTTGTGACTTCTCTACTTTTGCCTCTCTACATAAAGGACACTCTCTCTTCCTGCATTGGTGCTTAACACTGGAACTAGATATAAATTGAGGTGTATAATCATCCAATATGACTAGATATTGAGGGGTTCCTCACAGCATGTGATCTCAAAATAATATTATACACCACTCCAGCCATCAACATATATATTAAGATGGGCGACATGACAAAAAAGTGAAGCCAAAACCTCTCTGTCGCCCCCTGGTGGCTGGCTGCAGTATAGGCGATAAAGCCCACTGCCTCCATGTTAGCAGATGGGACATGAGCCAAACAAAAAAAATCAAAGTACATGTCAAATACATTTTTCCCCAAAAAAAGAAAAATCATTTAAGGCAGTTCTTATCACACTAATGTATGTTAATTTTTCTGATCAGTTTGGTTTTAATTTGTTATTTGAAGCTATAAAAATGGGGTTTCACATCAATATTAACAGCTGAGGCTGCTTGCGATTGAGTCTGCTGGGCATATGGGCGGGACTTTAATACCGCGGCGCCAGCTCCAATCACAACTGCTCAGACTCACTACTGTGCAGCGGCTGCATCTGGGATATTTTGGCTACAGTGGGAGAAAGTGGAGACGTGACATCTGTCTTTTATATGTCGATGGGCTGTACGAGCAGAGGTTTTAAGGTGTTAAAGGGTTCATGGTAAGGTGCTTGCCTCTCATTTGAAAGCTCTTGCCAGATGTTCTGAAAGCACAGAATCCCACTGGGATACTTGTGGAAGCTTCTGTTAAGTTGGTATGTCTGTCATGGTCTTAAAGGTATAGTATGTAATTTATGCCACTAGGGGTCTCTCATATCAAAACAATTGCAAAAGACGTAGTTTCATGACATTGTGAAGTAGCGCGGGATCATGGGAGTTGTTGTCTTCATTGTCAAACTACTACTATTCCTGATGAAAGTCTATCTGACATAATAAATATTAAAGTTTTATTACCATTACATTTAGTCACGTTCACCAACTTCGTTCCTCACTCTCGTATTACGTGTTTACCCAGAAGTTATATCAACTACAGGCAAGTAGGAAACCTCAAACAACATGACAGATTTCTCTGAGTTTCAACATTGTTGCAAACATTTGGGATAATGTAAGAACACAACTCACCAAAATATATAATATAGGTCTAGTCTTTTTTGGATGCAAGAATGTTACATAATAGCTTTATGGGTGAAATTATGCTTCTAAAATAAATACATGTTAACCTCTCTGTTGGTGTATGAACAGAAAAGTGTGCAGTGTGAGACAGTAGGTGACAAGCCTTTAAGACACAGAGAAGAAAGAACATGTCAATCTTATACTCGAATATATACAAGCATTAAAGTAATGCTATGGTGATGACTACGTTTGCTTCATGGAATGCTTAAGGGATAGCAACTTAAACTGGTTTTGCACCACTAAATGTGCACAGGTGTGTGTGTGTGTGTGTGTGGCTCCAAGTACTGTAATTTGCAATCACACTTACTGATTAGTTCAAGCCAATCATCACAAAATCGCAGTTTCACTAGAGGAACACAATGGGCTTTTTGTCATGGCTGTAACAGAATTACATGTAGTACTTCAGAACCCACAAATGCATTTGTAAAACAGTATTGTTGATTTGTGGCCTTTTGTCTTCTCGGCATTGTAGTGACGTGTTGCATGGTTCTTGGTTCATTTTAATAAAATTACAGACTACACTCCACAGCCCTTTTGTTTTCACCAAAGTAATTTGTTTTCACCATCAGTCTTAACTCACATGAACCATCTGATCACATGATTTTGATTGTAAATGGATTTCAAATAAAGTGTATAATTGTTTGCTGTGTTGGAATTGTTTACTTGCATTAACCAGGCAGTTGTGAAATGTTGACAGACCCAATAGCAAAGGTGAGAAAGTGATTTATTTTGTTCTATAACTTTCAATTAAATCTACTTATATAATGCACTGTTTAGAGAGGGATTGATCTAATTCAGTAGTTTATAAAGCTAACCATCTCTCACACTCGTCACATCTAGGTAAAAATAGAAACATTTAAACAAGAAATAAACATGACATATTCTTAGAACAAGCCCAGAGTAAAGACTTTGACGTTTTTATTTATATATTATATATATATTTTGGGATTTTGCTTTATTTTGATAGTGGTAGTAGAGAGAGACAAGAAAAGTGGGGGGAGAGAGGGGATGACCTGTAGCATAGGGCATGGGACCAGATTTGTTTCACTCTGTGCTATGCAATAGCCGAATATGTTATCTATTTATTCATTTATAGTTCAAAATATCTCTACAAAAGGGAGGTGAAGATTGATTGATGATAGTGAAGCAGACACAGGAATGAAAGAGCAAACCTGCATGTGCATAAATGTGTGTCCAACATGCGCCCAATTTAAAAGGCTTTAAAATCGTAAAGAAATGGAAAGTGCCGTTTTCCAGTGTGTTCATTTATTTGCCTGTTTGTGTTTTTAACTAGGTCTAAGGAGACATGGAGTATGATCATGATGGTGATGATAAAGATGACATTTTACAGGTGACATTTGCCAACAATATCCTCTTTGGGATTTTCACACATTAGTAGGGGTTCTTGTAGGTGTGATCCATGATGGCCATCAGAGCCAGCCAAGTCTCCCTGGCGGTGGGGAGGATCTGGCTGGCTGGCAGGATGAAGCCGTAACGGCCGGTGTCCCTCAGCTCGAAGGTGTAGGAGTACTTGATGCCCTGGTTGTAGGTCCAGTCGATGGTGCCACCGCTAGCTTGGTCTACAACGAAACAAGTATTGTTCAGGGCATTTTACATAAAATACAGTCTTTCAGGTGGCAGTCATAATGGAGGTTGTCAACTCTGAAGCATTAGTTGGAACATCTGATTTCTTCTGACTTCTTATGTACAACTTGGCTGACTGCCTCAATGAAATCACCACTGGTTTCCAATGGGTATGGTTTATTACACAGTTAAAACCGGTGTGTAGAAATACAATTTCTGACTTTGGCATCCCCCAGTGTTAGTATGAAAGAAGAAACATTGCACATTTGGTTTACAAAATGATCCAGCTGGTTAGCGAGTTTACTATCAATTCCTTAATCCAGTAATCTTAGTTTAGACTGAGAACATGTTTTCTAAGCTACGTCCGACAAGATCTGAAGGGGCTGAAAATGACTTTGTACTTCTACTAAATGTTACTGACATATATAAAGAAAAAAAACATGGCTGTATGTTGGTTGGATGCCTAATTTTTCAGGTGGTATTGGCCTTTGAATAAAGTCAAATGAATCTATATTATAAGCAGTCTTGCTGAAACTTACAGATAGTGTTGATGATGCTGCCGTATCTGTAGCTTGTACCGTACAGGGAGGCCAGGTCGGTGATGGCCTTCTTAGCCAGATTGTGCTGTGGGAAGACATTACCATGATCACATATGAACTTCTATTCATAGTATCTCATATTGCTTCTGCATATTCTTACATTTCTAACATTACAGGCAAACATTTACCGGGACAGCAAAACAGATGAGCCCAGAGAAGAAATCTACAATCAGTTTTACCAGTCTCAGTTTACAGGTTCTCTGTAACGATTTCATAAAAGGCAAAGAGTGTGATTTTTACCAGCTCAGTCTGGTCTTTGACTGGAGTCCTGGTGTAGCCGTAGGGGTACAGGAGCATCTGGGAGTAAGAATGGATGGAGACGAATGCCTTGAAGTTACCGTGGGACTTCACAAAGTCCACAATGGACCTGACCTCAGACTCAGAGTGAGCACTGGGTCCATGATAGGTTTCTGAGCAGGGGTTTCTGCTAGCACCAGGTCCTGCACAGGGATGACAACAGAGTCAGAGTAAGTGCATAAAAAATTGGATGCCACCATTTTTCTATAAACATATTTCGCGTACTTGGTTCCTTAGATGCTAAAACTCATGGTACAAGTACCTCCAAGTGCAAAGAGATTAAACATCATGTACCAACCATATGACTCAACCACCAAAACATGTGTGTTACTTATTTTATGTAATTTACATTGTTTCTTCTGCATGTCGAGGAGCAATTTGTGGCAAATCTGTGTAACTGTGCTGCTGTCCTGGGACATCTTCAAAAAGACCATCCTGTATATCTTCCTGATCAACGCCACAATGTGACGGAAATAAAAATGTGGTACTTTGGCACTATCTGGTGGAAGTATTAAATATGGCACTGGCAAACAACAATGCATGTCACTAATATCCTACACGCAGTCATTTATTCATTCCATTAAAAATAGAAAATAAGATAAGTGATCTGTAACACAACCTTTGACAGTTTTCAATGCTAATTACTTCAAACAGTAACCTACCTTGCAAACATTTGCAACCTCAAAGTCTGCACAATGACCAAATTTCAGTAATATATATATATAACTATTGCTGTATTGTAATCGATTATTTGACATTTAAAAAGTTTATCTGAACACAAGTTGTGCCCAGGATTTCTTGAATATTGAGTGGTTCTCTTTAGTTCTGATGTCAAAATAAGCTATCAGTGAAATTATTGCAAGACATTTATTCACAAAGCATGTCAGGATGTAGAGATTGAATAGTTGAAGACTGCATATTGGGAAGTCTCCGCTGTGACCTGACCTCGAAGTGGCGACCTGACATCCGTTTAGTTTTTCATTTTGGCTTACAGTGTTTCGACCCCGTGACATTTCAGAGTGTCTTCAACGTTGAAATGCTTGCAGGAATAGGTTTGGAGTATCAAAAATAATTCTTGATAATGACATGTGGTGCCTTGGTACATTTCAGCTACAAGGCAAAGACCTTACCTCCAAAACCAGCATCCCAGTTCCTGTTGGGATCGACTCCCACACAGCTTGAGCCAGGGTTGGGCTTCCTGGTCTTACGCCACATACGGTTCTGGAAACATCAGAATAACTCATCACTTTTATATTTTGGGTTCCTTTCTTTCTTCATACCTTTTATTTATCTATTGATTATTAGATGGGTTTTATTATTTTAACACCAGTTCCTGTCTTTATGTAGCTTTAGTGAGCATATGTTATATTTGAACCTGAAAGGAGCTAGTATCACCTACACCACTCATGATGTTACCCATGTCTGAAAATATCACTGTATACAGTAGTTAGTGAGAGGAATACAGGGATTGCATGTATTTATTCATGTCCTTGAAAATGGAATACGAAACATAACATGCTCAAATTCACATGGAAATTAGACAACACTGTCTAATTGAGAGATATGAAACCCTGTAGAAGCCTTGAATAAATATTGTCAATCAAAAACCTAAATGTGGCAGGAAATAATAATCAGATAGTACAAACTCTTAGCAATGAGAGACTCACGCTGTTGTGGGTGTAGTAGTACCCATCAGGATTGGTCACAATCTCCAAGAAGATGTCCATCTTGTTAAGGATGGCGGTGAGAGCGGGGTCACGTCCATAATCAGTCACAATCTACTCGCAGAAATGTAAAGAACACAATATTCAGTGCAGCAGGTTAGTGGTCAGAAGCTGGAGAGACGGTAAAGAAGAAACAGAAACAGGAGAAATATCTAAGCACCTTTTTGGCAAACCAGGTACCACTGGCCTGAGTGACCCACTCTCTGGAATGGATTCCAGTGTCGATCCAGATGGCGGGACGGTTGGTTCCACCAGTACTGAACTAAGATACAGGTAAGGAAAGGAAGCGTCCAACAACATGAGAACTAATGAGTGAACATACATTATATTGTAATTATAGTCTTCATTTGCTAGACTCAGCCTGTTTGTTTTATTTACCTTGAGCACATTCAGGGGACGACCCTGGTAGCTCTGACCGATCACGATCTTGCTGACCATATTGGGATTCTCAGCCACCAGCATGTCCTGGAAACTGTAGATCTAAACCAAAGACAAAATCCTGGTCTTTGATTTCATGTGCATCAACTGCGAAGGACATCATTCTGTATAGCACTGTCTGGTCTTAAGCGAGTTTAAATCATTTGCTGAAGTCGGCGTTCTTTTCCCTCAAAAATGTATTTGCTGCAAATTAGTTAAACGTAATTTTTAGGAGACAAGACAGGTTGCAAGGAGTCAGCTGAGTAGAGGTTTTCCAGGTACATCAAACTGGTAGAGACCCAGGGGTAGGGCCAGAACATGCTGGAGAGATTATAGACCTCACAATATTCTACTATGTCCCAACCCCGGATAAGCGTCAGAAAATGAATGGATAGGCTTTTAAATTTTATATTTATTTGTTTCCAAAATTTACTAGATATACAGTAAATTATATTTTAGTTTTGGTGAAATCATTATTTTAGTTGCAGGGTTATTGCCACACTTGAGGGAAAAGTTAACTGGCACGCTTGACTCTACACAAACAACGTCTTAAAAAAAACATTTTATAAATTGTGAAATAGGGCCTAAAAAGGTTTTCATAAAAAAAACAAATCATACATAATCAAATCCATGGATTACAATGACTGGATTTTTTATCAGACATTATATCAAATTATTCCTATTTAATGTATGATAACTACAAATAACATACTTCCTTTACACATTAAAACCTAGAATTAAGATTAAGAGTGCAGTGACCACAGTGAGTTTGTGTACTAACCTCGTTGATGGGGTGGTATCTGGAGTAGTCATAGCTGTCAGTATTTCTGGGCTCACCAACACGAGCAGCAGACTCCATCTCTTCCTGCTCCTCATCCAGCATCACCTACAGGACAATAACATCATTCATATTTGAGTTACATTTCTTTATAAAATCCATTGAGGTTAAGTTTTGGCCCCAAATCCGACATCTGAAGAATTCTAAACCAAGTGCAGTAAATTCAGCTTTGTTCCTATTCAAGCGTGGCTATTTGCAGGTCTCGCACCTGCAAGTCTTCGATCATGATGGAGTACACAATGTCCTGAGTCTCCAGGTAAATTTTGACCGACTGCAGGCTGTGGAAGGGAACTCTGACATCCACAGGAGTGGCCACATCAGTCACACCCCTCCAGAAGTCCAGCTGAAAGAAAACACAGCTATCATTCAAAAGTCTAATCAAATTTCAATGTATTCACTGAGTTCTTGGATCAAATAACTTAGTTATTAAATGAAATAGATGAAAATTCTTTTGAATTGTTGGTGGATGATGAATGACCTCAAACTCAATAATGTCCTCCAGGTCCTTGATAAGAGACAGCTGGACATCGTCTTTTGGAATAATGCGAAGCACCTGGTGCCTGCAAAAAGAGTACCACAAAGTTTTACATCGTTTTACTCAAGATCGCTGACCACAGGTTGGCACACATGGTATGAAGTAAGATTTCTCAAGGCTCGTTGGTTCGTTAGTTTTGTTGTTGCAATGTTTGATTGGCAGAGCAAAAAGGACTTCCCAGGGTGCCAGGTTGGATTTCCAGATTGGCTTTTATCTACTTGTTTTACATGGGATGACTTATGGAATATGTGAAGGATTTAATAACGTAATTACATACGGAAAAATATTGATATTTATTATCCAGATAAATTATGTCCAAATGAACCAAATTTTCTAATATCTGATCAGGGTGTAGATTATTAGAAATATGCAGCAGGTTTAACCACCCCTCGACCAATGGCACACTGATCTGACTTTCCAGTTCCCCACCAGTGAACACACCTCTAGTTCAGGCCTTTTGCTTTTAAAAACTGAAGCAGCAATAGAATTGGGGAGGTGGGTAAGAGGCAAAGACTGTAGCACAAGGTTTTTATAGGCACTACACATTGATTCATTATTATTTTCACGTTTATACACACACAGTATAGATCACACACACTCTACACAGCAGAGAGGGGCTCTGGCAGGCCCACTTACCCCTCATATGTCTCCTTGCCGAGAACGGCCACAAACAGCGCAGCGAATGCGAGCAACCCCCTCATCATGACCAACAATGTGAACCTGGCAGGGCCGAACCCGGGCTTATATGGCTGAGTGTGCCAGGTCACGTGTCCAAACCTCAACCTTGCTTAAGGTGACGGAGGTGTGTAAGCAGCCGGTCTCTTTCTCACAGCAGCCTGGAGATATCAGAGCAAAAGTTGCGTCATGTTTTTGACATATCTGCAGTTGTGTTCAGTTTAAAAGAAAAAGGAATGTCCTGTTTGTAGAATCCAGTCTGGTTCCTTATTAAGTTAATAACATGTTATGTGCACAAAGAGGAGCACATTAAAGAATCTTAAAGAGTTAAAACTGAAGTTGAATTAGTTTCTGTATTAATTCATCTGTCAGGTATTTTTGGATGAATTGTTTACTCAACTCAATGATATAAAACAGAAAAAAGCTAAAAAATCTCACATTTGAGAAGCTGCATGGAACCAGAGAACATTTTATGTATTTTATATAAAAGTTGGCTATTATTATTAGTTATGTATGTGTTATTATAAAAACCACGTCATCAACATTCTTTTATAAAAAAGGTTTCTCTTAACACCACAAAGGGTTCTGCTAATTATTTGTGATAAATATATTCCTCTTCTTGCCGTAATATTTAGTTTTAAACATTTTATTATTTTTTTTAAAGAAATGTCTTGAATGTGAATTTAACACCTTTTACATTCATTTCACCCAGTATGACAAGTTTCAATGATTCTTTGTTTGTTTTGGGTCATCTGACCTTTGCAATAAGCCTTTATCTCACAATTATATTTTGCCACTATATCCTATTTCCTTTTTCCTGTTGTTGTTAAAATGAATGAGTAGAAACAATAAAGTGAAACTAGACATGAAGTGCTCAAGCTCATGATGGAATATCCCCGCTCAACAGGAAGTTGCGGCTGTCCGCTGTGTATCTTTCAGCTTCCTCGCAGTTATTCTTGGGGCAAGACTGCTCATAGTAAGCAGCTTAAATATGCTGAATTTAAACCAGCTGCTGGGATACATGTGCTGTGAATTCTGCATGTTAGCAGAGAAATACTTCCAGACATGAGACAACTTGAGATTTCAGCGTGCAAATATTCACATCTGGTGCTTTTGCAGGCTTTCATTGCAAAATGAGATATCCACTAAAAAATGTGACACCAGCACTAAGTAACAGAACACCCACATCAAAGTAACACTTGTCATTAATAATATTAGCCAGCTTTCGCCTTCTACTTCTAAAACGATCACATTTTTGTGTCATTGAGTTTAAATATTGAGCAATGAACATCAGATAACACTTTCAGCCTTTTTGAATTACTCTAAAATCCAGTTCTTTTCTCCTACAGACACCTTCTCATGTGCTTAACTCAAAGTATTTACCACACATTTGAGCAATGTAATCGTTTAAAGCCAGTTCACATGATCGTAAAGTAAAGATCATTGACATTACTCACTAATTCGACTTCTCTCCACCGTACATGTCCCACCAATCTGCAAGTTTGTGTTATGCAACCGAGCTGATAAGGACATTGCAGAGGAAAAGTAAAGAGACACAAGGCGAGACAGAGCTGGGTGCGGAAAACACCTGCAGGAGGGTTTCTGATTCACAGAGACTTACAGTAAAGCAGACAGCTTGTTTGTTCTGATCCATGTGTCCTGCTTAAGTGTCCTCGAGCAAGACACTGAGCTCAAGTCATCAGCTGCAGATGTGTCTAAGTTCTGTCACAGTGAAACAGCATTTTGAGCATGTCTGACTTCCTTATTTTGGTGTAGCATTTTCTTATCTGGTGGTAAAATGTAGTCAAGAAAGATGAACAACAGTGGTCAATGGTCCAGCTTTAAAGTGACCTGTTATGTTTTAACCCTTCATATATGGTAACATCCTTATGATAGTTTTTATTACACTTCTATGGCATATTTTGGTGTTTTTTTAAATAGGTGACATACTAATATACAGTTCACTGTTACTGCTTTCTTTCACAAATAACTAAATGACGGCTTGATCTTGATTTGCTTATGG